ACAGCCAGAAAAATGATAGGATGGATTACGAGAACTTTCAAATCCAGGGATCCCATCACAATGGTTGTACTCTTCAAGTCACTTGTGTTGTCCCGTCTTGAGTACTGCTCAGTACTCACTTCCCCCTTCAGAGCAGGAGAGATTGCTGAAATAGAGGGAATACAGAGAACATATACGGCACGCATAGACGCAATAAAGCACCTAAATTATTGGGATCGTCTCAAAGCCCTCCAAATGTACTCACTAGAAAGAAGACGAGAGAGATATAAAATAATATACACCTGGAAGATACTGGAGGGCCAAGTACCAAATCTACACAGTAAAATAACAACGTACTGGAGTGAACGATATGGAAGAAAATGTAGAATAGAACCAGTGAAGAGCAGAGGTGCCATAGGCACAATCAGAGAACACTGTATAAACATCAGAGGTCCACGGTTGTTCAACGTCCTCCCAGCAAGCATAAGAAATATTGCCGGAACAACCGTGGACATTTTCAAGAGGAAACTAGATTTATTCCTCCAAGGAGTGCCGGACCAACCGGGCTGTGGTGGGTATGTGGGCCTGCGGGCCGCTCCAAGCAACACCCTGGTGGACCAAACTCTCACAAGTCAAGCCTGGCCTCGGGCCGGGCTTGGGGAGTACAAGAACTCCCAGAACCCCATCAACCAGGTATCAACCAGGCCCCCCCTAGTCACGCGATCTATCGAGCCGAGTATCTTCATTATGTTCCCCGACAATCAGGAAGCGTAGTTATCATAATCTGCTTCCAGGTCAGACGACCAGGCGACCAGGATTCGCATGTTAATATGCTTGAAGGTTTCATGTTGTAAGGCACAGCCTATTTCGACGACAACAAGCAGGGGCTGCACCTGCTTGTGCTTGTGTGAAGCAGAGTTGCGTACAGCCTCTGTTGCTTCATCCACTCACTGCACTCTCTCACGCTCCACCAGCAGCTCACACTCTGCATTTCGATCTCCAGAACTATTTTATTTGTTGTTAAAACCCCCAGTTACCTCGCCTTGTGTGTTAAAATGTCGATGGTGACTTTTCCTCCATCGATGCTTATATCCGAGATAATAATTGGTGTCATAGCCTATTTAGGCATTTTATCTTATTTGGACCAATTAGAGTCGAGTGACCCGTCATGACAGTGCGTGGCACGGTGACCGTAGTCTGAGCAAACGCATCAGGTTTGACCTTAACCCTGCTCGCTAACAATCTTTTTTTCCTCCAAAGCCGAGAGATTTTTTGAAACAATATGCCAGTCCAATTCTTTTTCTCCAGTTTTTTTTTTCCAATTCCCTTTTTTTGGGCAGGTCCAATCTCTCGTATTGCTTTCTCCATAAAGCCATTATGGTAAAGAATAATGACAATTTCTTATTGACGCCAATATCCCAATGGAAAACGTTTAGGACACCTATTTCCAATACCAAAATGGGAATGTTTTGCATAAAAATAGAGCTGCATTTGTTGTGTGTGTGAGCGGGTTTGGAGTTAAAGGGAGGCGCAGTACTCTCTGTATTTCTTTAAAACAATAGAGAGCACATATCAACGTTTATGTAAAACCTTACATTATGTACAACATTACATTACTGATAATTGGTAATGATACAGCACGAGGTAATATCTACCCGGAGGCGTCTACAACATGCCGTAATATCTACCCTGGACACCAAGAGCATAGCTTTACAACAAGCCTGAATGGTCCCCAGGACTATATGCGGCTGAAATCTACCTCATGGTGTAGACAGCATGCCGGAACATCTACCCTAGGACGTCAACAGCATGCTGAAACATCTACTCCAGGACGTCAACAGCATGCTGAAACATCTACTCCAGGACGTCAACAGAATGCCGTAACATTTACCACAGGATAGCAACAGCATAGCATATAACTACCCCCCAGGACGTCAACAGCATAGCGTAATATCTACGCCAGACGTCAACAACATAGCGTAATATCTACGCCAGACGTCAACAGCATAGCGTAATATCTACGCCAGACGTCAACAGCATAGCGTAATATCTACGCCAGACGTCAACAGCATGGCGTTACATCTACCCCCGGGGGCGCCAGCAGCAATACCTGCCCCGACATTGATCTCGCACACCACACAATAGCACTGGATTGCTTTTGATAGCTGCGAGTCGCCCTTTATAGCTTGCATTGCTGCTCTTTTCTATGCTTATGGGCTGTTGTACTTGCAAAGGTTGAATAGTTTATATGAACTGGCGATTTACACAGTACTGGGCATGGATTTCTTAACTTTTTTACTATTTACATTTTTTTTTCTAGTTGGTTTTATTATAAAACATTCCTTAAGGCATTGCGCGGAGATATACAAGTGAGAATAGCCAGCAGGTAATTCGGGGCAAAAGGTGGTAAATGATTCAGGACTTCGTTCACCACAGACCATTACAAATTAATGCGTGTAGCTACGCTTTGGGGTGTACTGGCTTTATTTAATATATATATATATATATATATATATATATATATATATATATATATATATATATATATATATATATATATATATATATATATATATATATATATATATATATATATATATATATATATTCCTTGAACAGTCTACTATACCACTGTTTCATCTTAGTTTTGCATATTTTACGAAGAAAATAAATATTATGATTATTATTATTCCATTTCACAGTTGAGAATTGAACACAGAGGAGAGGTGATCACAGAACACACAGTGTAGTGGAGTGAACACTGTCCCATCATTTTGCACATTATTCCTTGTATAATCCTGGAATAAAGTGATCAGCTTAAGACTGAGGAAGCACCTAGAGAGGACCACAAATTTGCAGCCAAAGAGCAGCGGGAATTTAGAGGTCGTCCCTGAGAGACTTGGCTGAGACCTATGACAAGGTTACCCCCCCAAAAAAATGAGTGGAAAAAGCAGGCTGGGTAGACTGTATTTTCTAGAGTGTCAACAAAATCATTTGCTGCTGTTTCTCGAGCAAGCAAGGAGAAGCAAGCTGGGATAATTTGGAAAACACCGAACTGGATATGAGAGAACACGAAGGACAACAAAATAGTATCACAGTTTGAGACTAAGAGGTTTCGAGGAATTCGACGATGGAGTCCCACAAGGATCGTTCCTGGAACCGCTAGACTGTTCTTGATTTATTGGAATGATAGTCTCGGGGAAGTGAGCTCGTTCATGCTAATGTTTGTGAGTGATGCAAGGCTGACGAGGAATGTGAAAGCTGAGGAGGACTGCAGAGAGTTACATGACAACCTCCATGAATGGGCAAAGAAATGGTTGATAAAATTCAATCCAAACACGTGTAAGGTAATGACGATGAGAAAGCGAGAAAGGAGACCAAGAGATCTCTAAGAGTACCTCCTCCATCACTAGTATTACCACCACCACCAGCAGCACCATCACCACCACTACCACCACCACCACCACCACCTCCAGCATCACCACCACCACCACCACCTCCAGCAGCAGCATCATCACCCCCAACCACTACCTCCAGAATCACCATCATCCCTACTACCTCTAGCATCACCACCATTACCACCACCACCTCCAGCATCACCACCATCACCGCCAGCACCACACCACCACCACCACTACCCCCAACATCATCACCACCCCCACCACCACCACCACCATCACCATCACCACCACCCCCACCACCATCACCATCACCATCACCACCACCTGCAGAAGCCCTCAACCACCACCTGTAACCACCACTATCATCGCCGTTGCCAGGTGCAGACCATTACTATGGAGATGAGGTACCAAACAGATGTCCTACCAGTCCACAATTATCTCAGCAGAGCCATGTTCTTCCTCGTGGAAATTAATTAAAACTTTGTATCACAAAACGAAAACATTGGGAGAAGCGGAGGAGAGGAGGCAGCGGGCTCCGTGAAATTTTTGTTGGCCGGATGTACTATTCACTGGCCTGATGGTGTTGTTATTATTTTATTTGTCCCGTGACCAGCGGTTCGTAGTGGTTTAGCGCCTGTAGTAACGGGGGCCGGATATAGTTCGTTCTGGTGTGTTAGGCTATTACATACTGTCATCTCTTGTGTGTGTTAGGCTATTACATACTGTCATCTCTTGTGTGTTAGGCTATTACATACTCTCATCTCTTGTGTGTGTTAGGCTATTACATACTCTCATCTCTTGTGTGTTAGGCTATTACATACTCTCATCTCTTGTGTGTTAGGCTATTACATACTCTCATCTCTTGTGTGTTAGGCTATTACATACTGTCATCTCTTGTGTGTTAGGCTATTACATACTGTCATCTCTTGTGTGTGTTAGGCTATTACATACTCTCATCTCTTGTGTGTTAGGCTATTACATACTGTCATCTCTTGTGTGTGTTAGGCTATTACATACTGTCATCTCTTGTGTGTGTTAGGCTATTACATACTCTCATCTCTTGTGTGTGTTAGGCTATTACATACTGTCATCTCTTGTGTGTTAGGCTATTACATACTCTCATCTCTTGTGTGTTAGGCTATTACATACTCTCATCTCTTGTGTGTGTTAGGCTATTACATACTCTCATCTCTTGTGTGTTAGGCTATTACATACTCTCATCTCTTGTGTGTTAGGCTATTACATACTCTCATCTCTTGTGTGTTAGGCTATTACATACTCTCATCTCTTGTGTGTTAGGCTATTACATACTCTCATCTCTTGTGTGCTCTCTTTTTGTAACTTTCTCTTTCTCCTTTTTTTTTAGCTATTGTTGTGGTTCATCAGGAATGGTATTGGTGTATGAAACTACAAGTTAACACACACTTGCTGTTCAATACTTGTTGTTCAACTGAAGTCTTACATTGGAAACTCACTTATTTCATGAGATTGTTATTTAGATTCATCAGGAATAAGTTTAATGTAAATTATGTAAGGAAGAGGATTAGCCAGGAGTCAGTTATGTATTAGAGTCTTAAGATGGTCGCTTGACTTGATTTTGTGTGTTTAGCGAAGTTCCAGATGCGGGTCAGCCTAGTAATGAATGATCGCTTATGGAGTGATGTTCTTGAGAAAGGCCTCGTCAGCATGAGGCTACTGACGGCCTTGTGTAACGTTTGCCAACTTCTGGTTGTCCACGAGGTTGGGCCAGGTGCGTGACCTTGAGAATATTGGTCTTATACAATCTTGAGGTTATCTTGAGAAATCAGTAAGTTCGTCAACATCTCCTTCCCAGTGTTGATAGCTCTGATCTGACTAGTTCAACTAAAATTGGGTCAAGTTTTAAGATGTACCTTCTCAAACAGTTCCTCTTATCGTAGACGAAGAGTCACAATAACGTGGCTGAAGTATGTTGACCAGACCACACACTAGAAAGTGAAGGGACGATGACGTTTCGGTCCGTCCTGGACCATTCTCAAGTCGATTCATCTTATCCCAGCAGGCACACCAGGAGAACTGTGCTAACTCAAGATATAAGCGAACTTGTGCTTCATAAAAACTTATTACAAGCCCTGTTTCCTATAAAGTATGAGATGTGCCATAGAGCTCTAATTACCACCTTGCCTGACTTGTCTCATTGGTTATGTATAACTTTTCATAATCAGTAAAGAGTCAAATTTCATTCCCAATATGTCATCTTCATCACTGAACACTAGGCTTTATCACTCAGTCGTACGCTTGTTCGATCTGCAATTGCATGTTGTGTAGTTATCATCATTTTTTCCCCAGCTGCATACCTTACCTACCATTGTCTAAATGTTTGTGATTAATGACCCATGTAGCAGTTGGTATTTCTTATTTCCCTATGTAAAAGTTAGATTACAGACCCACACACACCGAGGGCCTAGTCTGCACTTTAAAATAGCCAGAACACTGTACCAATGAGATCATGATTCAATGCCGCGTTGAAATCTCCAAGATAGTCACAAACATTTATATTTTTTTAAAACAATATGCAATTGTCAATAACAGCATTTTGCTTACACACTTCGCAAAACTCACAAGAAAGGGAGAGAGGGAGGGAGAGAGAGAGAGAGAGAGAGAGAGAGAGAGAGAGAGAGAGAGAGAGAGAGAGAGAGAGAGAGAGAGAGAGAGAGAGAGAGAGAGAGAGAGGGGAGAGAGAGAGAGAGAGGGGGGGGGGAGAGGAGGAGAGGAAAAGAGATTAAAAGGAGACTGGTGGGAAGAGAGGGGGGAATGTAAGTGGGAGAGGATTGGAGAGGTGGAGAGAGAAAAGGAAGAAGGGGGAATAAGGGATAGCAAAAGAGGGGAAGACTGGGAGAGAAGGCGGTGAAAGGAAGAGAAAAGGGACGAGGGAAGACTGGGATCCGGGCACTGGTTGGAACCCTATACACAAAGTACGAGGGAGACTCCAATGGTAGGAACCAGAACGAACAAGTGATCGGAGCAGGTCAAAGGTACACAACAGGTGGTACCGGAACGAGCGGACGCAGGTGATCATTTATTCAAAGGTAAATAGACTCGATCCCTACACACGTGGGTGTAACTAAGTGCTCTCTCTCTCTCTCTCTCTCTCTCTCTCTCTCTCTCTCTCTCACTCTCTCACTCTCTCTCTCTCTCTCTCTCTCTCTCTCTCTCTCTCTCTCTCTCTCTCTCTCTCTCTCTCTCTCTCTCTCTCTCTCTCTCTCTCTCTCTCTCTCTCTCTCTCTCTCTCTCTCTCTCTCTCTCTCTCTCTCTCTCTCTCTCCCTCTCTCTCTCTCTCTCTCTCTCTCTCTCTCTCTCTCTCTCTCTCTCTCTCTCTCTCTCTCTCTCTCTCTCTCTCTCTCTCTCTCTCTCTCTCTCTCTCTCTCTCTCTCTGTGTGTGTGTGTGTGTGTGTGTGTGTGTGTGTCTGTGTCTGTGTACATGCGCGACAAATTGCATATACAGCAAAAACATAATTACAGATAAAATCATCAAAGGAAAAACAAAGTTCCAAACGACTGGAAACTATTGATGTCACGCCAATATTTGAGGAAGGAGACATGAATCACCCATTGAATTATCGTCCTGTTAACCTGACCTCGGCTTTAGTAGCATTATTGGAAACCATTTTTTGGAGGGTTGCGGATTCAGGATTATAAAATTTATGGATAAAACTGATATAATAATGTAAAATCAACATGGAAAAAAGCCATAAAATATTCGTTGCCTAATAATGCTGTCTATATGAAAAATGGGATTCAAAATTTGACTTCAATGTTATAGCCTATTCATTTTTTTTTTTTTTTAAGTTTTAATTGATTAGGGCCTACAGGAATTAACAGTCCATGTGGGATGACTGCAAAAATATTCAGTGTCATCCCTGTCTGGTTTCTTATTAATCCAAATGTAAATAAATAGATCTAAAGCAAACTTCGAAACAAATGGAACCGCCTATCCGCTGAATCCGTAAAGGCCGACTTGAAAAACTCCTTCGTAAAAATTCGGGAACTTTTGGACAAGCTGCCGGCTTCCTGTTCCCATCGAGGCCACTATTGACTGTGACCATCAGGTAAACACAAGTAAATAATATTTATTCTTTAAATAAAACGATTCAACAAAGAGAAATAACTGCATGTCTACCCCCCTTGAAGTAGAGGAGGGGTAGAAATAGCCTAAGCTACTCTATCCCTTTGAGATGTATTTCTTTCTTGTCTCAATAAACATACTTGAACTGCATGACTAACGGGAAAAAACTAGAACACCATCGTGGCTGGAAAAGTTTTGCGCCTAACAGAGTTAGTAAACGTTGCGAAAAATTAGCTTCCAGTGTTTGGAAATTGATTGAATTTGGTGCACTCGGGAACCGTTTCCTGTGTCGGCCGCTAGGGGCGCTGCCGACGTGTTCGTAATGCCTCTGGTCCTGTCAACACGGCGGTCGTTTATTTCCAGTTTATCCGTTGATAGAACACAGATACCTTCGCTGGCAAAGGCTTTAATGCGAAAAGTACTGAAATAAAGGCACAAATGCGCGCACTAACGCAAACACACGCATTCACTCACAACCACTTGGGCTGGACGGTAGAGCGACGGTCTCGCTTCTTGCAGGTCAGCGTTCAATCCCCTGACCGTCCAAGTGGTTGGGCACCATTCCTTTTCCCCCCCCGTCCCATCCCGAATCCTTATCCTGACCCGTGGAAGGGGTCAGGATAAGGGGAATATATATTTAAAATAACTATTACTATTGTTTTTATTAATTATTATTATAGGGTATGCTTATGGTGTCATTATATGATGTAAAAGAGTTAACAGGTAACACAGTTTTTTGTTTACTAAAACTAGGGCTGTCGACTGAAGTATCTAGTGAAACTGCAAGCAAGAAATTGCAATTTTGCAATATACTCAATACAAAATCTTGGTATTTGTAAAGACCGAGTGAGGAAGATGAAAAATTTTGCAATAATATTATTATAAGGCAAAAAGTAATGAGAAAATAATAGAAGAAGGAATGGAAGACATAGAGAATAAGCTAAAGAGAATGGAGTGGAACTATCAGGAGACAGCGCCAAACCATTACGACTATATAGCACTTGGAAGGGATTAGGGTAAGGATTGGGGATAGGACGGGTGGAAGGAATGGTGGCCAACCACTTGGACGGTCGGGGATTGAATGCCGACCCGCTTGAAGCGAACCCGTCGCTCTACCGTCCAGCCCAAGTGGTTTGTGTCAAGAGACAGAGATACAGACAGAAACGAGGGACAGAAAATACGAGACAACAGTGTGAGAGAGAGAGGGAGAGGAGAAGAAAACGAGAAACAAATGCGAGAGAGGAAAAAGGAACTGAAGACAGCAGAAGGCATCAGAGCCGAATGAAATGATTCAAGGACTAAATCAAATCGTCTCCCAGCAGGGAGGTGAGGGATGGAAGTCGTAATTCACGCAGCAGCAGCACCAGCAGGAGCAGCAGCACCAGCACCAGCAGCAGGAGCAACAGCAGCAGCACCACCAGCACCAGGAGCAGCAGTAGCACCAGCAGCACCAGCAAGAGCAGCACCAGCAGCAGGAGCAGCAGCACCAGCAGCAGCAGCAGCACCAGCAGCAGCACCACCAGCACCAGGAGCAGCAGCAGCACCAGCAAGAGCAGCGCCAGCAGCAGGAGCAGCAGCACCACCACCACCAGCAGCAACAAGGCGAGAAGCAGCAAGCCGGGATCACACACATGATTGCAGGTAAATATGGGAGGTTATTGAGACGCGATACAACGGATGAGGTAACAACATCAAAACAGCAACTAATGGTGCTGAAAATAGAGCCAAGAGAAAGAACAGGCGATAAAGGCTAAGAATAGGATGATCAAGAGAGAAAAAGACGAAATAAGAGGAACATAACAGCGAAAAGCAGAGAGAAAGATCTCCTTCGTCAAGGCTCTTAAAAAATAAACAAGAGAGTAATTACTGCTAAACAATGCGGTTATTTTCACGGTAATATTAATCCTGTGAACCAAGCAATTGGGAAGCTACGAATTCTTGGATTGACAGGTGAGCCTAGACAGGAGAGAAACTTGAGATGCATCTAAGAAATATTAAAATTCTTCGATGAAACAGACGTTTGTAATCGCATTATCGACAATTTCAAAATGGGAAATACACAACGGAAATAAAAGCCAATTCTGATTGATTTTTCATGTCACAAAGACTCGTACAGTAAATATGGAGAAACAAAGAATATTCGATAATATGCTCAGCAACTCGGCTTAAAACAGAGAAATAACCACTAAAGATTGAATATAAAACTAAACCACTAAAAATATAATATAAAACCACTAAATATAAATATAAAACCAGAAATATAAATATAAAAATATAAAACCATTATTATAAATAATAAATATAAAACCATAAATATATTATTATTATATAATAAAGAATATAAAACCACTAAATTGAATATAAAAAAGAGCAGTATAAATTCCTTTTCAATTGAGGGAAGAGATGTCTCATACACACACACACACACACACACACACACACACACACACACACACTTTTCTTGAAAAGTTGTAATACGTGTCTTAAGTGCAGTTCATCTCTCCCCGCAACATTTGTTTACATACCCGCAATGAGAGGTTGTTTTGAAAGTGTTTAATCAGATTATTTCCCGTTATTTCAAACGTATTTCAGTCTGTTGAACATCGCATGTGTGTCTGATGAGATTAGTTCTGCATGACACTAAT